CACACAAACTAAACTGTTTCACTCCCCACCCCCCAGGGCAAAGGTAAAATGGAGACCTTCTGGCTGACCGGCCGCACAGACATGGGCGAGAGCAACGACAGCATGACGTGTCTGTGGAGGCCGAAGAAGAAGAAAAAACCCGCCGATAACGCAGCAGCAGCACCTGCCAAGCCCCTCCCAACCGTCCCGGAGACGACCTCAGCATCCGAACCAGCCAATCAGGGTGAAGAAAAATCACAGTCAGCCAATCAGGACGTAGAAAATTCACTGTCAGCCAATCAGAACGGAGACAAATCACAATCAGCCAATCATGAGAGTGGTAAGGAAATAACGCTGGAGACAGTCAACGAAATAAATGAGACTGTGGCGGGGAAGAAAACGTCATCTCAGCCAATCGTTGAAGAGGGTAAGGCAGAAGAGAATGACGTCACCACAAAGAAAGACGCGTCAAAGAAGGATAGTTCAGACTCCGGCTTCAACGAAGACGCAAAAGACCCTCAACAAATTCCACAGAACTCTTCTGATCCCGCGCCTGTCAACGACACTAAAGCGAACGATGGTGTCGTGGGTGGAGCTACTGTGTGGGTGGAGAACGAGTTGACCAATCAGACGTCCGCAGTGCCGAGCTCACAGCCAATCGTAACGGTGGAGGAGTTGGAGAGAGAGCTGGACAATTCTCCGAATATGTTTGACAAAGACGAGGAACGAAACTCAGTAGACGAGGGAGGCGGGGACGTAGATGGGGAAAAGGAGGTCAAAGATGACGACAACGAGACAAAAGATACGGTCGCACACACAAAAGAAAACGTCACTAAACAACAAGCGAACAAGGGCGGCAACTCGAGCGGGAAAGGTCGCCCCCAAAATGACGTCATCAAGCGGGAAATCCCGTCCCGCCCCGCGCTCGTCCAGCCCTCCGCCAAAGACCCCCTCCCGCCCGTGGCGAAATCGGCACCCTACAGACCCCCGCCCCAACAGTCAAGCAACCTCCATCCCTCCGACCCCACACCATCTGCAAAAAGCAACACACCAAACCACCCGCACCACCACCAGCACCACAACTCTAGACTCACCACTCCACACGGCACCAACTATGCATCACCAACATCATTATCATTATCATTATCGTCCTCATCACCGCTTTCTAGAAGCCCACATAACCCAACATCACCTAGAACTACACCTTCCCCACGAATCTCCACCCACAAACCAGCAACAGTCGCCACCCGCTTCCTACCACTGGTGAAAAAACTGAAAAACGCCGCGGCTTTCTCGAGATCCATCACCTCCAAACTCCCAACCGCGACAGTCGACCCTTCCCAACCCCCACCCACTCCCCTCCGCCCCCACAGGTCAAAACAACCGCCCACCCTTTTTGAGACAGCCGAACAACAGAAGTCAACCCAACCACGTCCACACGGACAGATCACAAAATCAATACACACGGAATTCTACACCCATCAGCACCCACCCACCTCCCAAAATACCTCCAAACAATAACCCAGCAGAACGAAGCGACATCATTCATACTTCTTCCAGGGGATCAAACTCCAGACATTCCGTTACAAACATAACACCCGGTGACCAAAATAGATTGACTCTAGACAGATTGATTGATGATAAATCTCCTGCAATAAATAGACCAACCCAAACAAAATTTATTCCAAATAGATTTGCTCAAAAGAAACCAGCTCAAAATAGATCATCTCTTAACAGACCAGCTCAAAACAAATCTGCTTCCCTGCTTCATTCCTCCCGGAAAGACAGAGTGACCCCGAGTGGTCAGCGTGACCCGGATGTACTGACCATCCAGGGAGGAGACTGCAGGAGTCCCTCAGTGACCGGTGTGACGTCACGAGAGCAGACGATCCACACGATCAGTAGCTGTGTGCCCACCGGTGTGTTGTTGGAGTCCACGGACTCTGGGAGTAGTTTTACTAACATATAGTTTGTTGTCCTCAATTGTGTTTGGTGTCCTCTTGTTGTTGTTGTTGTTGTTGTTGTTGTTGTTGTTGTTGTTGTTGTTGTTGTT